GGGGCACTGGTGGAAATATGTCATGTTTAGACGATATATTGTTCAACGACAAGTCAGGTTCGATTCCTGTGGAAGGGGCATAGAAGACCCAGGCAAGGTGGCAACAGCATTCGAGTCCACCGTGTATGGGAATACGTTTGGGAAGGTGGGGCTGAATTTAGTTTATACGTAGGTTTTTGAGATCGCCAGTAGATCATATAAATGATATGTTTTCACGGTATTTCGTTTAAGGTCAATAGGGTATTGGTAGTTGAAATTTACCACATTCATATAAATAGATTTTACGTTTCCGTTGCATTTCATATAAACTTACTATCTTAAAAGGCATTCTCTTCCTCAAAAGGTGTGGATTGCAGTTTCGACCTCACCTAAACTCGTCTCAATAGCACTTCCAGCAGGAATCGGTCCGTGACAATCCATGCACACTCTCGACATGTAAACCACTGCGCTACATTCATATGAATGCCCTTGGGCTACAGGACAGATGGGAATTTTTAAGGAAGGCAGGACATTTCCCCATATCACGTTGTATGGTGGGATTGTCGATGAAACAAGTTGTAATTGCTATAGCAATCAACTACATTACTTATTTTCAATTTTTAATCAAGTTTTCGAGACTACCGGTAGATAATATATATAAGATGCATTCACCCTATTTGGTTGAATTTTCACAAAATCATATCAGTACATACAGAATATGGTATGGAAAATGCCCTAGTAACCCAAGGGCACTCGTGGAAATTCGGCTTATTGTTTATCGTGTCGAGATTATACACTGAGCTGTTATGGTTCGAGTCCCGCTGGGGGCATGGTGATGAGTTAGTCAACGCGAGTTCAAAACTGTAGGCAATCCCATTCGGGGTGAGAATAACTTTTGGAAATGCAACGTTATGGGACATTCAATGAAAACGCCTTGTCCAGTCATATCATTTTGTGAAGCTTCAACTACCAGTCCCACTATTACTTTGGATGAAATAAGATAAATACATTGCTTATAGTAAAGTATATTTATATCATTGTGGAAAAATTAAATTATCACATTTTCGTTCCTTTATGCTACCTAAAATAAATGCGTTTATTGTTTATAATTTGCTGACAGTCTCGTTAGTACCAGGTATGAATATAAGTTCGCACCATTTCTGGCAAATTTCATTGCTAATTTTGATTTGACTACTTAAATTCGTTATATGAGATGTGTTTACACCATTTCGTAGTAGTAGAATTTTCCCACAATGATATGAGTATAGCTGACGTTTCCATTGCATTTCACATAGCCTTGCATTTTCCACACCACATTCTGTGTTGGGAGTGTCGATGAAGCAAATATATATTTGCTATAGCAATCGAGGACATTACCGGAATGGGGTGAATACATCTCATTGAATTGCTTTACTGGTAGTCTCGAAACTCTGCTTATATACGAAAAATACTTAAATTGGGACAATTAAAGCTTGTTACAAACAAGAAAAAAATACTTACACTTTATTCGGCATTTTGAATTAATTAATTGTCTTTAATTGATTACCATATTTAATGTAGTTTACGCCGCATATTAACTAGCTTTTCTGCAAAACAAGCCCGTTTATACATTTTTTTGTTTAAAACTACATGGCCACTGCACTTGCCTCAATTTGTCTCAACTTTATTCTGGAAGGAGCCAATTCACCCGGCACAGCGCTGGTCCCTGCATGCTAACATGTCGGGCGGGGCCTCATACCTGCCTGTGCATCCTCAACCCCCTCCAGCGCTGCCAAGCCAACCGGCCGAGGAGACCACGGAGCCGATATACGTGAACCAGGCGGCTTTAATCGCCATGCCGAGTCCGACCGTACCTCCGAAAGTTGGTCGAGCCGGCGCT